CTTTTTAAATGTTGAAACACAGTAACTGATTGGCTATGCAAATGAGCCAGACATATCATGTATATTTTAGATTTGGATGTGAGCATGCTTGTTCAAATGTCTGTTCTACAATTGCCCTCTCAGAAAGGACTTGCCACTAGCCACCTTATTAAAATAACACTAACCCATTCATTAGTTTCTCCTTGACAGTTCCGCTTTTCTTTATAGTAACCCTCCCCTCTTAACATTTATTGCATCTATTCACTTATTGTGCTTCTCTTCCTTAAAAGTAAGCTCTGTGAGGGCAGAATCTGCTTTTAGTTCCCAGTTATGGAACCATGGGAGTACTTGGTGTGCGAAATAATGCACCTCCTTCACCTTGGACGTGTGTCTCCACCAAAGTCCTCTTCATTCGCTTTAACCTCCACAGACCCTTCCCCTGATGCTCATGATGGAACGACTCCTTTTGTTTGGTTCTCCTGCAGCACTTTATTGTTATTACTCTTGTTTTGCTGATATCCTATATAATAAAACCCTAATATGTAAATCGACCAAACAGTGGAATAACCAGTCACTATGATGTGCACTGACCACCAGGGGGCAGATACTCAATGCAGGAGCTGCCCCCAAAAGGGAGGCAACTGGCGGTGGTGATCGGGGGGCAGGGCCAGCTGGTGGGCAGTGCCAAGGCAGGTGCCAGCAGGGGCCCCGGATCACCCTGCCCACTGGTCACCCCACAGATCAGCCCTGATCACCAGCCAGGCCCAGGGACCCTACCCTATATATTGGGAACAGTCTTTAGATTTAAAAATTAAAATAGGGCAAGGCTACTCTAACACTGAAAAAACAGGATGATGCAGCGATGACATGCATGGACTCTGGCTTGAACATTTTGTGGTCAGTCCTGATTCTGACAATTATACATGTGTGACAGAGCCAATTACTTAACTTCTCTCTGCTTCAGTTTTTCCACCCATAAGATGGGGAAAATGGTACTACTGACTCAGAAGGATCATGTTATGTACTACTTTTTATAATCAGGGCAAGAAAATGTAGCTGCCATACAACAGCAAGATGCCTTTCACCTGTGTGAAAAGTATGGTCACTGTGCATGCAGCATCCTGGATTGCGAGAGGGATGTCCTACTGCCAGTTTAGGCCTGGCATCCACCGAGGGGTCCTGGATTGCGAGAGGATGCAGGCTGGGTTGAGGACCCCCTCTCCCATGCACGAATTTTGTGAACCAGACCTCTAGTTTATTATATTATTTTATAGTCATATTTATATTTTACTTTTCCTACTAAATTTTGTCTTTTAATATAGGGTCACACCTGAATATTTTCATAATTCCACAGTGTTTGATCCTGCACTTATAGTGTCCACATAATATAGTTGACTAAATGGATTATAAAATAAATGAATGACTATATTTAACAACAGTATCAAATTTAAGAAAGCATCATTACTCCTGGGTTAAGTGAGAGGAAAGAGAAAAATAAAAGGCATTCTCTTTTAACTATTTCTAGATTTGTTTTACTGATGTCAGAGTTAGAAATATAAACCAGCAAAATAAAATGTCAATACATTATTGTTGTAGATGCTGGATTCCCTTCTTCTGGCTTTTGTTTCCTCCGTGAGGGACATTAATGATGGTAACACATTGTTACATTAGCTGGGCTCTTTCCTGCATTTCTCCACAGGGGAGGAGGGAAGATGGCCTTCCTGATTGAGTCTGAGAGAGGAACGGGATTGCAGAGCTCATCCCCCTTTCCTCACATTTATTTTAGGAGCTGGCACACTTGTAGACATTCTTTCTTAAGTTTTAAAAATATTATAGGGGCAAGCTCTGGAATGGTGGGGTTTGGGTCTGCATATTTGGAGGTGAGATCTCTGAAGACCTGTTAGGGCCGGTGTTTTGCCCAAGGAAACTTGAGACCTAGATGATCAACAGTGGAACATGGAAAGCTAAAGGACATGTGGATAAGGAGGTCATGTGGGGTCTATCAAATGACTATAAGATATTGTGAATGGTTCACTTATGAATAAACACAGAAATACTTGTCACTGGTTAGCCCTGGTGATTTGCAGAGCCTTGCTGACCCCCTGCTGCTACACTGGCTGTTATAGTTGGGAGCTCATTGTCTTTCCACTGCTTAAACTGAGGGAATGAATGCAGAGAGTAGCTGCTTTTATGCAGGAAGGGCAAACAGGTGGCAGCCTTGGAAAGCAAGCACAGATGTAGAGACCTCATCAGTGCCCTTAGCCTTGAACCTTATGGTGTGTGGCTGGCCCACTTCAGCTTTATAGCACCACCCTTTAGCTCTCCTATCCACTTAGGGGCTGCTCTGGACAATATTTAGCTCCATGACAATACTTAATTCCATAAACTTCTGATATCCAAACTGTATCCTCACCCACATAAGGGAGGCATAAATGAAGAGGGCCTTCAAAAAGAGAAAATTATATTTTATTGGCTTAGATAGAAAATAAGTCAAGAGGTAAAAGGGACAATATATATTGATTCTTTCAACCCAACATGGCTCAGCTTCTCCAGGCTCCTGCAGCATGGATGGGCTTACTCACGGGCTTGCTCATATCTCTTTCTGTCTGCTAGTAATACTGTTCACTTTCCAACTTCTCAAATTGATATTTCTAGTCTATATTGTCCTATAAACCATGTAATCCATTTGTTTGGAAACTCTTTCTGGTGCTCAAAATTACACCCCTGAGGTTTTAACTCATGGGCCATTGTGTTCTCTCCACTAAGAATTCATTTATCCCATCCTTACCTGTTGAAATCAGACCTATTGCTGT